GGCATCGGACACCACACCCCACACACACCCCGGGCATCGGGCACCACACCCCACACACACCCCGGGCATCGGGCACCACACCCCACACCGGGCATCGGGCACCACACCCCACACACACCCCGGGCATCGGGCACCACACCCCACACACACCCCGGGCATCGGGCACCACACACACACACACCCCGGGCATCGGGCACCACACCCCACACACACACACACCGGGCATCGGGCACCACACCCCACACACACACACACCGGGCATCGGGCACCACACCCACACACACACACCCCGTTCTCCGGGCTCCGGGCTCCGGGAGGGGCTGTCTGTCACACACACACACACACACACCACCCCGTTCTCGGGCTCCGGGCTCCGGGAGGGGCTGTCTGTCACACACACACACACACACACACACACACACACCGTTCTCTGGGCTCCGGGCTCCGGGAGGGGCTCTGTCTGTCACACACAACACACACACACACACACGCACCCCGTCCTCCGGGCTCCGGGCTCCGGGAGGGGCTCTGTCTGTCTCACACACACACACACACACACGCACCCCGTCCTCCGGGCTCCGGGCTCCGGGAGGGCTCTGTCTGTCACACACACACACACACACACACACACACACCGTCCTCCGGGCTCCGGGCTCCGGGCTCCGGGAGGGGCTCTGTCTGTCACACACACACACACACACACACACACACCCCGTCCTCCGGGCTCCGGGCTCCGGGAGGGGCTCTGTCTGTCACACACACACACACACACACACACACACACCGTCCTCCGGGCTCCGGGCTCCGGGAGGGGCTCTGTCTGTCACACACACACACACACACACACACACACCGTTCTCCGGGCTCCGGGCTCCGGGCTCCGGGAGGGGCTGTCTGTCACACACACACACACACACACACACACACACACGCACCCCGTCCTCCGGGCTCCGGGCTCCGGGAGGGGCTCTGTCTGTGGCTGGAGCAGGGCCGCCGCCCGCCGCCCGCCCTCTCCCTGCAGGTGTGCACCTGGACGGGGGCGGCCTGGCACCGGCTCCCGGGCCAGCAGGCGCCCTACGCCTCCCGTGGCGACCAGTGGGTGGGCTTCGACGATGCCGAGAGCCTCAAGGCCAAGGTGAGGCCCGCCCTGCGGGGTCCGGGCGGGCGGGAGCGGGGGCTCTGACCCCGGGACCCAGGACCCAGAGACCAGAGACCAGGGACCGGCCGACCCCGGAGGGGCTGCGGGTGTCCGGCCACGCTCTGCCCGGCGGCACTGGGTCCCTGTGGCTCCAGCGATGAGGGACCAGTGAGAGCCGTGGCCCCAGCGCCATGGGAGACGTGGCTGAGTGCAGACACGTCGCAGACACGCGGGAGGCGCCGTGCACCCCCCTGACCCCAGGCGGACTCGAGCGCCCGCTGCTCAGCTGGCGGCGGAGACACTGGTTTCTCTGTCCCCGGGCCCGGCTCCCCCGTGTGAGGTCATCAGCTCCTGCAGAGGGTTTGGTTAGGGCTGAGGTCAAGGTCAGAGTCAGGGTCAGGGTCAGAGTCAGGGCTGGGCTAGGTTTGGGGTTAGGGAGGGTTAGGGTTGGGTAGGGCTATGGTTAGGGTTATGGTTAGTGTCGGGGTCAGAGTCAGGGTCAGGGTCAGGCTTAGGGCTATGCTCAGGGTCAGGGTCGGCCCATCTGAGTGTCCCCGTCAGTCACCCTGCAGGCAGCGGTGTAGACAGCCCTGGGCTAGAGGAGGGAGAGCCAGGCCGGGGGAGGGCGGGGGAGGCCGCACACTGGGCCTCACGGTGGGGCAGGTCTAGGGGGGCAGCTGGAGAGGGAGATGAGGTCAGCAAGGGGTCAGCCAGCCCACTCCTCCCCAGCCTGACTGCGGGAGCCGGGCCGGCGGGGGGAGGGGGAGGGGAGCCACTCGGAGGGAACAGCCCTGCCTGCCCCCAGGAAGCTGGGGGGCAGGCCTTGGGGGAGCTTTCGTTCCCATGGCAACAGCTCAGCCAGACCAGCAGGCAGCACCTGGGCAGGGAAGGCCCCAAGGCCAGCCTCCACCTGAGGGGCCCACACTGCCCACCCCTCCCCCCATCCCCATCCCCCCTCCCATCCCCCACCCCTCCACCCTCCCCCGCCCCCTCCCACCCCTCACCCCGCCCCCCTCACCCACCCGCCCCTCCCACCCCTCACCCCGCCCCCCTCACCCCTCACCCCCCACCCCTCCCACCCCTCACCCCACCCTCCCCTCACCCCTCCCCTCCCTCACCCCCGCCCCCCTCCACCCCCCTCCCACCCCTCCCACCCCTCACCCCGCCCCCCCTCACCCCGCCCCCCTCACCCCGCCCCCCTCACCCCCACCCCGCCCCCCTCACCCCCACCCCCACCCTCCTGCTGGGGACGGACATCCTTTGTGAAGTGCCGCCCGACGGGCTCAGCTATCCAGCACCCAGCCAGGAGCCTGGGCCGCTCCGGTCTGGGGAGCTGGGCTGGCGCTGCCCCCGGCCTCAGGCCCCCCCGCCCCCCGCAGGTCGGCTACCTGAAGGGGAAGGGCCTGGGCGGCGCCATGGTCTGGGCGCTGGACATGGACGACTTCTCGGGCTCCTCCTGCGGCCGGGGCCGGTTCCCCCTCATCCGGACGCTGCGCTCGGAGCTGGGTGAGCCGGGGCGGCGGGGCGGGCCAGGGCAGGGGTCCCTCCCTGGGCTCGGGCCCGGCTCCTCCCGACGGCAAGGCCCCCGGTGGGTGGCGGGGCCCCAGCGCCCAAGCCTGGGCGGTGGCTGCTTCTCTCGGGGGAGCCCGCACCGCACCCCCGGGGCCCCTCGGCGGGCGGCAGGTGGCCACTGACCCGCACGCCACCCAGCGCCAGGCCCCCGTGGCCGTGGCCCTCGCGTGGCTGTGCTCGGCTGTGGTGGCTTGGGGTGCAGAGCTCCGTCCGCTGTGGTCTTGGGGACTCGGGGGCCCTTGCTGAACCCCCCTGCCTTCCAGGTCTCCCAGCCCCGCCTTCCCAGCGCCCCCAGCCCGAGGCTCCGGCCCCCGCCCCGCCCTCTGAGCCCGAGGGCGGCCCCGGCCCCGGCCCCGGTCAGCGCCCCGGACAAGGCCCCTCCTGCCAGGGCCAGGCCGACGGGCTGTACCCGCACCCCCAGGACCCGGCCGGCTTCTACAGCTGCGCGGGCGGCCGGCTCTTCCTGCAGCGCTGCCCGCAGGGCCTGGTGTTCAGCGCCGCCTGCCGCTGCTGCACCTGGGCGTGAGCCCGCCCCCGGCCCCCCTCAGCCCCCCCGGCTCCCCCGGCCCCCCCCGGCCCCCTCAGCCCCCCCGGACCCCCCCCGACCCCGCCCCGGGACCCCCTCAGCCCCCCTCAGCCCCCCCGGACCCCCCCGGACCCCACCCCGGCCCCCCTCAGCCCCCCTCAGCCCCCCCGGCCCCCCTCAGCCCCCCCGGCTCCCCTCAGCCTCCTTTAGCCCCCCCAGCCCCCCTCAGCCCCCCTCAGCCTCCTTTAGTCCCCCCAGCCCCCTCAGCCCCGCCGGCCCCCCTCAGCCCCCCTCAGCCCCCCCGGACCCCCCCCGACCCCGCCCCGGGACCCCCTCAGCCCCCCTCAGCCCCCCCGGACCCCCCCGGCCCCCGCCCCGGCCCCCCTCAGCCCCCCCTGCCCCCCTCAGCCCCCCTCAGCCCCCCCGGCCCCCCTCAGCCTCCTTTAGTCCCCCCGCCCCCCTCAGCCCCCTCAGCCCCCAGCCCCCCTCAGCCCCCCCGGCCCCCTCAGCCCCCTCAGCCCCCCCTGTCCCCCTCAGCCCCCTCAGCCCTCCCTGTCCCCCTCAGCCCCCCTCAGCCCCCCCGGACCCCCCGGACCCCGCCCCGGACCCCCCTCAGCCCCCCTCAGCCCCCCCGGCCCCCCTCAGCCTCCTTTAGCCCCCCTTGCCCCCCTCAGCCCCCCCGGCCCCCCTCAGCCCCCCTCAGCCCCCCCGGCCACCCCCAGCCCCCCTCAGCCCCCCCTCAGCCCCCCCGGACCCCCTCAGCCTCCTTTAGCCCCCCAGCCCCCCTCAGCCTCCTTTAGTCCCCCCAGCCCCCCTCAGCCCCCCCCCGGCCCCCCTCAGCCCCCCTCAGCCCCCCCGGCCCCCCCTGCCCCCCTCAGCCTCTCCGAGGTCTTTGGAGCCGACCTTCCCGCTCTCGCTGGGTCTCGGCTCTGCTCGGCGTCTCTTTTTCTGCAAAATAAACCGGTTGCACCTGCGCCTGGTCCTGGCTTTGCTCGGGCTCCTGGGCAGGGAGGCGGAGGGGCTGGCGTCGGGCAGGCACAGGGAGGGTGGGGCAAGAGGCGGTGGACTCCGGCCCTGCCAAGCCCCGTGCCAGGGACAGGCAGGCCCCACAGGGCGCAGCCTCTGGGCCCAGGCGGCCACGCCCGGGCCCGGCCTCCAGCACCTCCTTCCCGGCCCCCGGGGGCCCGGCCTCCAGCACCTCCTTCCCGGCCCCGGGGGCCCGGCCTCCAGCACCTCCTTCCCGGCCCCGGGGCCTGGCCTCCAGCACCTCCTGCCCGGCCCCGGGGGCCCGGCCTCCAGCACCTCCTTCCCGGCCCCGGGGCCCGGCCTCCAGCTCCTCCTTCCCGGCCCGAAGCCCCTCGGGCGCTGTTCCCAGGGTGCCCACGAGGGGGCAGCAGAGAGGCTCTCCGGGCGCCTCCTCCAGCTGTGATTGCCCCGCTGGCCACGAGGGGGCGCTCTGTCCGCTGGGCGCCCAGGAGACCGCGGACGCTAAGCTCCCGGAAATAACGGCTATTTTAACCCGTTTCCCCCATTTCCGCTGGCGGCCGCCGGGGGCCGAGGGGAGGGGACACAGCGGTGACAGCGCCGTCACGGGTCCCTGGATCTGCAGGGCCCGGGACGGACCCGGCGAGGCCGGAGCGGCCGGGCGGACCCTGCCCCCGCACCCGCACTCGGTGCCCGGGAACCGGGCAGTCGGCTGCGCGGCGGACGCTCTTGTGGAAGCGGCCGCGTCGCTCCGGTGGTGCTGCCGTCGGCCTCGGGTTCCTCCCGTCCGTCCGTCCGTCCGTCCGTGATGGATCTTCCTCCATCAACAGCGTGTGACACCGGCGCCCGTGCTCGGCTGCAGTCGCGTCCGCAGACAAGCTGAGTCGTGGGAGCGTGTTCCTCCCGCCGCCGGCCCCACGGGAGTCTGAGCGCCCCCCACCGGCCGGGCTGCGGGCACAGGGACGGGTGGCGGGGAGCGGGCAGGGAGCGGGGCCCAGGGAACTGACCGGAGCGCCGAGCTGATGCCGTCCCCCTCCCCCCGCACCCCACCCGGTCTCCGAGGCCCGCTTCCCGATGAGCACGGCCACCGGAGCCTTTTCACGGAAAAAGTCCACTTTCCCAGCCCCTCAGGGGCTCATTCCACACGCCTGAGTTCTGGATCGTCCCCAAGTGCCGAGACCCTCAGCCTGTTCTTGGTCCCAGCGTTATCCTTACCCATAACGCTAACCTCCCAGCGAAATCCTTATCCCTGACACTAACCCTATCCCTGACCTTATCCCTAACCCTAATCCTATCCTTACCCATAACCCTAACCCTAACCCTGACCCTAACCCTAACCCTATTCTTAGCCATAACCCTAACCCAAACCCTATCCTTATCCAAAACACTAACCCTAACCCTATCCTTTCTATAACCCTAACCCTAACCCTAACCATAACCCTAATCCTAACCTTAACCCTAACCCTATCCTTAACCCTAACCCTAACCCTAATCCTTTCTATAACCCGAACCAACCCGATACGTGCCAGAACCATAACCCTAACCCTAACCCTAACCCTAACCCTAACCCTAACCCTAACCCTATCCTTATCCATAACCCTATCCTTATCCATAACCCTAACCCTAACCCTATCCTTATCCATAACCCTAACCCTAACCCTATCCTTACCCATAACCCTAACCCTAACCCTAACCCTAACCCTAACCCTAACCCTAACCTTAACCCAATCCTTATCCATAACCCTAACCCTATCCTATCCATAACCCTAACCCGAACCCTAACCCTAACCCTACCTTATGCCTAACCCTTACTACCCTAACCCTAACCCTATCCTTGCCATAACCCTAACCCTAACCCTATCCCAAACCCTAACCATAACCCTATCCTTATCCATAACCCTAACCCTAACCCTATCCCTATCCATAACCCTAACCCTAACCCTATCCTTACCCATAACCCTAACCCTAACCCCGAACCCCTATCCTTACCCAAACCCTACCTTAACCCCAATCCTTATCCATAAACCATAACCCGATCCTTTCCATAACCCTAACACTAACCTAATCTTATGCCTAACCCTATCCTTACCCTAACCCTAACCCTAACCCTATCCTTATCCATAACCCTAACCCTAACCCTAACCCTAACCCTATCCTTATCCATAACCCTAACCCTATCCTTTCCATAACCCTAACCGTATCCTTACCCATAACCCTAACCCTAACCCTGACCCTAACCCTAACCCTATTCTTAGCCATAACCCTAACCCAAACCCTATCCTTATCCAAAACACTAACCCTAACCCTATCCTTTCTATAACCCTAACCCTAACCTTAACCATAACCCTAATCCTAACCCTAACCCTAACCCTAACCCTAACCCTAACCCTAACCTTATCCCTAACCCTAACCCTATCCTTTCTATAACCTTAACCCTAACCCTAACCATATCCTTATACCTAACCCTAACCCTATCCTTATCCCTAACCCTATCCCTATCCTTTCTATAACCCTAACCCTAACCCTATCCTTGCCATAACCATAACCCTAACCCTATCCTTATCCCTAACCCTAACCCTAATCCTTATCCATAACCCGAACCAACCCTATATCCCTATACCCATAACCCTATCCTACCTTGCCCTATAAACCCTAACCCTAACCCTATCCTTATCCATAATCCTAACCCTATCCTTACCCTTAACCCTAACCCTAACCCTATCCTTATCCATAACCCTATCCTTATCCATAACCCTAACCCTAACCCTATCCTTATCCATAACCTTAACCCTAACCCTATCCTTACCCATAACCCTAACCCTAACCCTAACCCTATCCATACCCATAACCCTAACCTTAACCCAATCCTTATCCATAACCCAAACCCTATCCTTTCCATAACCCTAACCCTAACCCTAACCCTAACCCTAACCCTATCCTTATGCCTAACCCTATCCTTTCCATAACCCTAACCCTAACCCTATCCTTATCCATAACCCTAACCCTATCCTTTCCATAACCCTAACCCTATCCTTACCCATAACCCTAACCCTAACCCTATCCTTTCCATAACCCTAACCCTAACCTTACCCATAACCCTAACCCTAACCCTAACCCTATCCTTACCCATAACCCTAACCCTAACCCTAACCCTATCCTTTCCATAACCCTAACCCTAACCGCCATCTCCCTCCTTCCTGACTTCCGGGAGTTAATTACCAAGCACAGCTGTGTAGCCTCGCTGCCCACCTGGCACCCGCCCTCCCCTCGGCCCCTCTGGGCCGTCCTGCCTCCCTCCCCCGAGGTCACCCTTGCAGCTCACCAGCCGGTCGTGTGGAGTTCTCGTCGCCCCATGCCCTCTGTCCTCTGCCCACGCCCTCCGCCCACGCCCATCACCCATGCCCTCAGGTCCTCGGACCCCGCCCCCCAGTAGCTTGGCGGGAATTTTTTTACTTTTTTGCAAGTTTTATTTTAATCCAAGGACTTTGCTTCATACAAAATGTCGATGTAGAAACAACAGCAGAATCCAAAGTGGGGCTGACAAAGACCACGCAAGCAGCAGACAGTCAACCACGAACCCTAAAGCGCCCGCCGGTTGTGGTGGGGGCGACTCACGTTTGTTCTCGAACACTGTTCTTAAATATAAAGTTTTGCAACAAACCTTTGATTTATATCAAATATAATTAAAAATTAACAAATGATTACGTTGTATCAAAAAGTACGAAGATATACCTTGTCATGCATATGCTTGCATATGGTACGTATGTATATATCCTACATGCACACGCAACGTGTTCGACCACAGCCTCGCGCCCCGGGCCCGGGCACACAACGGGTTGATGCAGCTCAAATTTGGCAACTCACTGAGGTTTCGGGGTGCGAGCTGAGCCCGACCCCGCCATGGGGACGACACGCTGCGCCCCGTGGCCCCGCCGTGGCCCCGCCGCGTGTCCGCAGGATCCAGGCGGCGGTGGAGACGGAGGCGCCCGGGCTCAGGGCCCGTGCCCGCGGGAGGGGGACGGGCTGGTCTCGGGCTGAGACCCACAGCAGGGCGGTCGTGTGGATCCCTAGACGTGTGTCTGGTTGCATAGCCCTATGGGAACGGCACCCCGCCTGCCCGCTTCCTCCGGAGAACGGGGCCACGCCCACGGCACATGCACCCGGCAAAGGCCGGGACGTTTCAGGACACGGACATGGGTCTGTCCCCCCTGCCCTCGTGGACTCCCGTCCCCTGGGTGAGGCTGGGGTGGCGTCGCTGCCTGTTCGGTCGGGCGGGCTCCGTGCCTCCTGCCTGAGTCTTCCAGCCCAGCTCTGCGCCCGCCTGCCCGCCTGCTGCCGTGAAAATCCACCTCCACGGCCGCAGCCAGCGGGCAGGCCCGCCCCTGAGGATGGCGTGGACCGGACGGCGCCCCAGCCCCGCCCCAGCGCTGGCTTCCCGGGCCCTCCCCTGGGGCGAGACGGACAGGCCAACGCCGTCTGGCCCCCCGCCCATGGCCCCACGGGACACGTCTGTGTGTTCTCGGCCCACGGCAGCTTCCCAGCTCGGCTGCCCGCCCGCTCCCCGGGGCCGGGCCTGGGAGCGGGTCAGGCACTTGGTCGTGGCCCCGGGGCCTGTGTGACGGGAGAGCAGGGCATCCGCGGCCAGGCCCCGGGCGGGGCAGTGCGGCCGCTCCGCCGCTGCCGGCTGCTGCTGCTGGGCCGGCCGACCGACGGGCGGGCGCTGTCCGCGCCCAGGCGTGTCCCTCTCAGGCGACGGTCCGACAGGAAATCCACTCGGCGCCCTCGGTGCCCAGGGCGACCTGCCCGCGCCCCCTGCATTGAGGTGACCTGCAGGCGTGAAGGCTGCTCCCGAGACCAGGCCTGCCGGGCGGCAGCACGGAGCGGTCCCTCCGCGGAGGCGGGCACGCGGCCCTGCTCACAGCCACCCTGGGCCGGGGCAGCCCCGCGGAGGAAGGGCTGGGCGCCCGGCGGGAGGGCAGCGGGCGAGGCCCCTCTCGGGCGGGCGGACTAGCACCAGTGGTCTTGGTCCGGGTGGTGGTAGCTGTGGCGGGCGCGGCTGCCGGCGCCCAGGCCCAGCGAGCAGTGGTAGCCGTTGGGCACGCGGCGCAGCGGGTGCGGCTGGGAGGTCAGGGAGGACACGTAGGAGGCCCGCGAGGAGCGGCCCGAGTTGGTGGCCACGGCCTCCTCGAAGGTGAGCACGTCCTCGGGCGGCGGGGCCTCGGCCTCCAGGCGCTGCGCCAGGTACGGGTCCGAGCCGATGCGCGCGCTGGGGGCCAGCGGCGGGCCCAGGGGGTCCCTCTGGAGCAGGGCGTTGTGTTCCGAGAGGCCGCGGCTGAGCCGGCCCGGCGAGAAGGGGGGGCCGCCCTGGGCCCCGGCGAAGTGCACGGGCGAGGAGTGGGCCGTCTTGTAGGTGACGCTGGGCCGGGGGGTCAGCGGCGTCTGGGGGAGCTGCCTCCGCCCGCCGCGCCCGGGGGTGCTAGCACCAGATGTGGACAGCAGGGGGCTCCCGTCCACAGAACCGCCGCCCTGCAGGAGCACAGCCCTCAGACAAGGCAAGGGCACAGAGGTGGGGGGAAGGAGGGGGAGAGACAGAGGGGCCACCTGGGCCTGGACGGGTCAGGGGAGGCAGTGAGAGGAGGGGGGTTGAGGGGGTGAGGGGGTGAGGGGGTAAGGGGGTGGGGGTGGGGGGAGGGTGAGGGGGTGAGGGGGGTGAGGGGGTGAGGGTGAGGGGGTGAGGGTGAGGGGGTGAGGGTGGGGGTGAGGGGGTGAGGGGTGAGGGGTGAGGGGGTAAGGGTTGAGGGGGTGATGGGGTGAGGGTGATAGGGGGTGAGGGGTTAGGGGGGTGAGGGGGTGAGGGGGTGAGGGGTGAGGGGGGGTTGAGGTGGTGGGGTGATGTGGGGTGAGTGGGGTGAAGGGGTGGGGGGGGGTGAGGGGTTGAGTGGGGTGAGGGGTGGGTAGGGGGTGGTGGGGTTGAGGGGGTTGATGGGGTGAGGTGTTTGAGAGGAAATTCTGGTGAGGGTGTGGGGGGATTGAGGGGGGTAAGGGTCTTGTGAGGGGTGAGGGGGGGTGAAGGGGTGTGGGGGGAGGGGGGGTGAGGGGTGAGGGCGGGTGAAGGGGTGAGGGGGTGAGGGGGTGGGTGAGTGGGTGAAGGGGGTGAGGGGGGTTGAGGGGGGTGGGGGGTGAGGGGTGAGGGGGGTGAGGGGGGGGCGGGGAAGTGTGTGGTGTAAGGGGGTGGGTGGCGTGAGTGGGGTGAGGGGGTTGTAGGGTTGAGGGGTGGGTGAGGTGTGAAGGGGTTGGGTGGGGGTGAGGGGGTGATGGGGGTTGAATGGGTGGGGATGGATTGAGGGGGTGAGGGGGTTGGTTGATGGGGTGAGGGGGGGAGGTGTAGGGTGTGGGGGGTGAGGGGGGTTGAGGGGGTGTGAGGGTGGGTGGGGGTGAGGGGGTGAGGGGGGATGGGTGAGGGGGTGAGGTGTGGTGAACTGGGGTGAGGGGGTGAGGGGGAGGGGATAAGGAGGTTGGAGTGTTAAGGGGGCTGTAGGGGTTGAGGGGGGTGAGGGGTGAGGGGGGTTGGGGGTGAGGGGTGTGAGGGGTGAGCGGGGTGGTGAGGGGTGCGGGGTACGTCGGTGGGGTGGTGGTGGGATGAGGGGGTGAGGGGGTGAGGGTGGGTGGGTGAAGGGGTGGGGGGTGAGGGGTGAGGGTGGAGGGGTGGGGGGGTGAGTGGGTTGAGGGGGTGAGGGGTGAGGGGATACGGCGGTGAGGGGTGGGGGGGTGAGGGGGTGTGAGGGGGTGTGAGGGGTGAGGGGGTGAGGGGGTGAAGGGGTGAGGTGGGTGAGGGGGTGAAGGTGTTGGGGGGAGTTGAGGGGGTGAGGGGGGATGAAGGGGTGGGGATGAGGGGGTGAGGGGGTGAGGGGTGAGGGGGGTGAAGGGGTGAGGGGGTGAGGGGTGAGGGGTACCGGAGGGCGGAGGCCGGAGCAGAGGCTGGGCTGTACCTGTCTCGGGGGGCCTGGCTCCGGCCCGGCTGTGGGCGACGTGGGGTGGCTGCTGAGGGCGGGCCTGGGCAGCGGGGGCTCCCGGCCCCCGAAGCGGTCGCAGGAGTAGAAGCGCTGCTTCTCGGAGGAGGAGGAGGAGGGCTGCCTGCGCTCCTGGGACCGGCCCCGCTCCTGCCTGCGCTCCCGCCGGCCGGGGGGCCCCTCTCCGGGGGGCGGGCCTGGCCCCGCGGAGCTGCTGGGGGCTGGGGGGACAGGAGCAGTCACCGCGGAGCTGCGCCCACACCCAGACCGGGACCAGGGCGGCAGAGGTCCCGGGTGAGGGCTGGTTGTGGAGCCACAGGCACAGGCATTTAGGGTCCCCTACGGGCTGTCAGACCCCCAGGGCGGGCCACCGCCCACCCAGGAGCCCTATACGCACCACCATTGGCGTCTGCGGACAGGCTGGGCCCCTTCTCCAGGGACTTCTGCTTCCGGTCCCTGCGCCGATGGCAGCGGTGGTGGTGGTGGGGGGCGGCCTGGCTGGCGGGGGCGCGCTCCAGGGCGGCAGTGCAGAGATGGGCCACGTGGGGGCGCTGGGGCGCCAGCGTGGAGATGGAGCGCTTCATGGGGCTGGCGTCGGAGGCTGGCTGTGCGAGGGCGCGGACACGGGCAGGTGAGGGGGGCACACGGCCGGCCTCCTGCTCCGCCCCAGCGTCCCTGCAGCCACACTGAGGGGGAGCGGACGGAGGGAGGACCCCTGCACTTTCTGAGGAGGTGGGTTGGGTGGAGGAGGGTCCCAGAGGAGGAAAGCTGGGCAGGAGGCTGTGCCCACAGCTGGGGGTGGGACTCCTGGCCGCAACTCGAGGCAGCAGGGCACTGGGGCACCCACGGGCCTGACAGGGTCCAGGACAGAGCGGGCAGCAGAGCCAGCCCCTCCCCCCTCCAGGTCCCTCACTCCCGCCCTCCCCCCTGCGGAACCCCCAGGCCACCCACCTGTGTCTCCGCGGCCAGGCGAGGCATGGAGGCTGCGCGCCCCTGGCTCTCCAGCCCGGGCTGGGGCTCCCCGTCAGCGCCTCTCAGGGCCATGCTCTGCATCTGGACATCCACAGCCTGGGCACAGCAGCCCCAGTCACACCCCACATCCCATGCTCCCCTCTCTCCTGCCCTGCCTCCCCCATCTGCATCCCATCTCCCCTCCTCTCTCCCCCTCCCCCATTCCCATCCCATCCCCGTCCCCTCCTCACCGGCTTTACCGGCTGCACCACTGGGATCTCTGCCGAGTGGCCTCGCTCCAGGGGCGCCCTGGCCTCGCGTGGCACCTCCTGGGTCCTCTGGGTGCCCCAGGAAACAGACTCCCTGAGGCCGCCCTCTTGGGTTTGTCTGTGGAGAGGCTGTCCGTCAGCTCCTCAGCAGCTGGGCCAGTGGCCAGGCAGCTCCCCATGGGGAGGAGGGAGCCGGGGGCGTGTGCCAGGGGGGCAGCGGGAGACAGGCTGGGCCCAGTGGATCGCAGCCGGGAAGCCTGAGCCCGCCCCAAAGGAGCTGGCTGGGCCTCGGTCCCGAAAGCCGCCAGGCTGGCCCTCAACGCCCCCCAACCTGGCAGATGCCACTCGGCCCAAGCTTCCTGAGCAACAGCCCACAACCCGGAGCCGACTTCAAAGAAGGTGGAGAAGGGGAGGAGAGGAGGAACCAGGAAGAACCAGGAGCCTCCACCACCCCAGACGGCGGGGACCAGCCCGGCTCGGCCCTCGCTAGGGAGAGCGGGGCCCTGGTGGAGTGACAGGCGCCGGGGGCTGGCTGGGCGGGCCCTGCCTGGCTGAAGCCTCCCTGGCCCCCGGTGGAGGTGCCTTGGTGAGTCACGTGACACACAAGGGCCTTGCAATGTGTCTGTGAGCACAGCTGGTTTGGAGGCCCGGGAGGACCCCGGTCTCAGGGCCGCCGAGGGAAGGGGGACAGTCACTTCTCACATCTGCAGGCCCAGGGGAGGGCCGTGCCTGCAGAGAAGCGGGCGCTCAGGAGGGCAGCTGCACCGTGAGCATTGCAGAGGGTCTCAGGCCCTGGAGGCATCCGGGGAGAGCTCAGCACGGAAACCACCTGGACCAGGAGGTCCGTGTGCAGGTGAGCACAAGGCCACCTGCAGAGCCTGGAGGGGCCTGAGGACCCCTGTCCTGGGTGCTGCTGGGAGCCACTCAGAGCAGGGGGTCAAGGAACTAGAGTACTGCTTTCTCCATACCATCAGTGAAACCCCACAGGCCCCGCCCAGCCCCACAGGCCCCGCCCAGGACTCACACAGCCCCGCCCAGCCCCACAGGCCCCGCCCAGGACTCACACGGCCCCGCCCAGCCCCACAGGCCCCGCCCAGGACTCATACAGCCCCACCCAGGCCCACAGGCCCCGCCCAGGACTCACACGGCCCCGCCCATCCCCACAGGCCCCGCCCAGGACTCACACGGCCCCGCCCAGCCCCACAGGCCCCGCCCAGGACTCACACGGCCCCGCCCAGCCCCACAGGCCCCGCCCAGGACTCACACAGCCCCACCCAGGCCCACAGGCCCCGCCCAGGACTCACACAGCCCCGCCCATCCCCACAGGCCCCGCCCAGGACTCACACGGCCCCGCCCAGCCCCACAGGCCCCGCCCAGGACTCACACGGCCCCGCCCAGGACTCACACGGCCCCGCCGTTGCTGAGGGAGGCTGAGCTCTTCTGCTGGAGAAACACGCGGGCCCCTCGGAGCACCGCGGGCTGCGTCTGCTCCAGCGTGGCCTTCAGCGGGTGGAACAGGGACCCGGGGCCCATCTGCGGAAGGACGCGGGAGGAGAGCTCGGAGGGCTGGGTCCGAGCGGTGGGGCAGGCTCCTCCTGTGGGCGCAGCCTGCCTGCCCGCCCAGCCTGACACCAACACTGACACTGACACTGCGGCGGGCAGGGCCTGCTCCCCATGGACTGTGCAGGGCTGCAGGGCAGTGACTCCCTGGAGCCACACCCACAGCGCTGGGGGCTGGACCGATCCCAAACAGCAAGAGCTCCCCTCGTCATCCCCTCCGGTTGCCGGCAGAGGCAGCTGGAGCCCGAGATGTCAGGGTGGGGCGGGGTGGTGTCTGCACAGACGAGGGTGTGGGGGGGGCTGTGGCCAGGCAGCAGCCACATCTCACTGTTTCAGACAGAGCGCCTGCGTGCCCAGGGCGGGCGTGGGGCTGCCCAGTTCAGCCCACGCTGCCCCCAGTGGAGCCAACGGGGAGCCTGGGGCCCCGGTCAGTCCTCTGTTCCCTGAGTGTCCAGGGAGAGCAAGTCCTTGCTCCTCCCAGAACCACCTCAAGGTCCTTGGGGACGTTTCTCCCCTTTCAACCGCTCCCGCCCCGCACTGGGCCCTGAACACGGCACCCAGGTCAGGTCAGGTCAGGTCAGGGCCCCGCGAGGCCAGCGGCACCCGCTCTGGGAGCGCGCCCACGCCGTCAGCTCTCCCCGGCCTCCCCGCCGGCCATGGCTGCTCCCGGAGCGGCCGTACCTGGGACAGGCCGGGCACGGGGTGGGTCTGGTCCCGGCTGGTCTTGCTCTGCTTGTAGAAGTCGAAGATCATCAGGGCCGCGTACACCTTGCCCACGGTCATCTCGTCGGCTGGGGACACGCGGGGAGACAGGCTGGGCTCCCGGGCCGGACGGACGGAGGCCGCAGGACAAGAGGGCCGAGGGGGGAGAGGAGCAGGCCCCACCCGGGACACTGGGCACGCGCAGGCAGGGCCCCCACTCGCAGTGCCAGCAGGCACCACCCCGCCGACCCGGGCCCTGCTTCCTCAGCCCCACGCGGTCTCCTGGTGTCTCCGAGGGCGCACCTGGCTCTCGCTCTCTGGCTGTGAAGGGGATTCCCGCACTGGGCCAGGGCGGCCTCAGCCCGTCACCTCCCACAATCGCCGTGTACGCGCAGGCAGCGGGTCCCTGCGCGGCACTGAGCCAGGCTACGGGGAGGGGCCCCTCCCACGGTCCCTGCTGCCTCTGGGGTTGGAGGTCGCTCCCGCACTCACGTCTGTGGGGCGGCACCAGCAAGTCCAAGGTCTTCTGGGGCAGGTTGGCCCACACCGAGGCGATCTCCTTGCGCAGCGCCGCGTCACACTGGTGCTGCTTCGTGCCAGCTGGGCAGCGGGGGAGGGAGTTAGGAGCCGCCCTGCAGCCCCGGGGGGCAGGCAGAGCTGGGGGGCCGGGCAGGGAGGGTGCTGGGCGGGAGGCCGGTCAGAGCTGCCCCTGCAGGAACTCCTGTGTGTGTGTGTGGGTGTGTGTGTGGGTGTGTGTGTGTGTGTGTGGGTGTGTGTGTGGCTGTGTGTGTGTGTGTGTGTGGGTGTGTGTGGCTGTGTGTGTGTGTGTGTGTGAGTGTGTGTGGCTGTGTGTGTGTGGCTGTGTGGGGGTGTGTGTGTGTGGCTGTGTGTGTGTGTGGCTGTGTGTGGCTGTGTGTGTGGCTGTGTGTGGGTGTGTGTGTGGCTGTGTGTGTGTGGGTGTGTGTGTGGGTGTGTGTGTGTGTGGGGGGGTCCTGGGAAGGGAGGGGCACGATCTTTCAGACACTCGCTGCCACTCACTAGCACGCACTGACCCCTGAGTGTCAGGGGCGGTGACCAGGGATGGAACAAAACCAAGAGCTGCCTCTGGAGGGAGACTCGAGCCCACAACAAAGAGGTGACCCGTTAGGGCCCGGCCTGGGGGGCAGAGGAGCAGCCATGCGGAGGGGTGAGGAGGGTGGGAAGGTGCCCCTGGGCGGGTGTGGGAGAGGCATCAGGAGAAGGCGGCCTGTGCACTGAGACCCGGAGGCGGGCAGCCCTGCTGGGGGGCCGCCCGGGAGCCTGGAGGGCACCGCTGAGCGGGGAGAGGCCGAGGCCGAGGTGCGGGCAGGGGATGAAATGTGCCGTCTGTCTTTGACAGCTGGTTTATTGTATTTTAAACATATTTTTATTGGTTTCAGAGAGGAGGGGAGAGGGAGAGAGAGAAACAGCTGACCTCGGCGCCCCGCAGGCCGCGGCCCCTGCACACCTGCCGGGGGCTCACCTGGGGCCAGCTTGATCTCCAGCGCCGTGCGGATGAGGGCCATCAGCGTGGATGTGAAGTGGACAGTCATGTCCTCGCTGGAGATGGGCATATTCATGCGGACCAGGCGCTGGGGACAGGGGGCAGGTCAGGGCCAGGCTTGCCGGGTGCCCCTGAGCACTCAGTGCGGAGGCCCCTAGCGGTGTGCCTGGGGCGAGAGGAGGCTGGGACACGGGACCTGCCAGCATCCCCGTCCTCGTCCCCGCCCGCCCGGAGCTGAGGCCTGGGCGGCAGAGCAGACAGACGGCAGTGAATTGCCCAGAGCTGGCAGCCCGGCTCATCCCGCCAACAGGCCCCCCTCAGCCTCTGGTCCCCTGCCTGCCCCTGCCTGACGGGGAGGGGGTGGGGTGCAGGACCAGGGCTGCTCCTGGGACCACTGAGGGACAGGAGGCAGATCCCTGCCTTCTCCTGGCCCCACACACAACCTGGCGCACCAAGCAGGCCTGGGCGGCTGGGGCCTCTGCCCTGCCAGCAGCCCCCACGGGGGGGGTTCTGCCCCAGCACTGCCCAGCGTCCTGGCCCCAAATGGAAGCCTCAGCCCGAGGGCGGGAGGCCAAGGCCCAAACCCGCCTCCTCCTCCCCCCCCCCCATGCTGGCAAAGCCCCGGGCACCCGCTCCCCTCCCGGAGCTCCCACGCCACCGTGACCAGGCGGCCCTGGGACAGCACCGGTGGGCGAGAGGCAGAGGGGCCCTCTCCAGGGACCAGGGACGGGAGGAGCAGAGCAGGGGTCCCAAGAGGGGGGCTCCGTCCAGGGCACCCACCCTGGGGATGAGTGGCAGGAGCAGCGGAGGAGCGAGGCCGGAGGGAGACAGGCAGCCGGCCTCCTGCCCTGGCCCCTGTGCGCCTCCTGCAGCTCCCCAGCCCCCACGCCGTCAGCCTGGGCATGAACCCCGCCCGCCCGGCGCCCTGGCCCTCCACGCCGTCAGCCTGGGCATGAACCCCGCCCGCCCGGCCTGCAGCTCAGCATCCTCAGCAATGAGGGGGGTCACAGGACCCCGTGCCCGAGGCTGTGCTCCCCTCAGTCACCCCCAGGATGCCTGGCGCCCTTGAGGCCCTGCACTGCCTCCTCCCGGGCCCTGCAGCGGGGCCTGGACATCCCGGGGGCATGGGCCTCTGCCCCAAAGCCGGCCCCCCTCAGTCTAGGGCAGGGAGGGCAGGGGAGCCCAGGGACAGCTCTGGGTATCAGGGAGGTGCCCCTCAGGGAAGGAGGGGAGATGGCTGGCAGAGGAAGACGGTGAGACAGCAGTGGCAGACAGGCAGGCAGACAGGCAGGCAGACAGACAGGCAGACAGACAGGCAGACAGACAAGCCTGGGGAGAGAGCAGGCGGTACCTTGTAGGCCACGCGGGCGGGGCACCGCTTGCCCAGCCCCAGGGGCGGGGGCATGTGCTTCAGCATCTCGAACATGTCGCTGTACGTGATGCGCCCGCTGCGCCAGCCCAAGGTCCACAGGAGGGGGGGGGAGGGGGAGGAAGCAGAGAGAACAGATCCGTTAACCGGGTCCGAGTGGTGTCAGCTGGTTCCAAGGAGGGCCTCCTCCGTCGAGCCTCCATGCCCCAGCCCCACCTCCACGCTGCACCCACGCAGGGCGCGGTGGCCTTTGAGCTAATGATGTGGAGGGTGAGGAAGGTGCACGGGGAGGCTGTGGGTGGTCAGGACGGACCTCACACTTTTAGGAACTACGGACCACAGGGATCAGAACGCCGTTTCACCGCCCAGCGACCCTGAACACTTGGTTTGCTGCCAAGTCAGCCGGGAGGCCACGGCGTGGGAAAACCTAGAGCAGCAGGCTGCCCAGCGGGTGCCTGTCCTGCAGAACAAACGGCCGGTAAGCCCGCTCCAGGCCCGGAGATGCCCGAGGCCACCTGGGCGGGGCTGCTGGGGAGGGGACGGTGTGGGGGCCGGCGGGCAGCAGGCTGTGGCCTGGGCCCTGGGCCCTCCTGACGCTAGGCCAGGGACGGGGGACCAGCATCTGGAGTCCGTGGCATCTGCCCCGGGGGCTGGACCGCCTGCCGCAGGGCCTGTGGGTCTCGGCGCAGGCAGTTCAGGCACAGGAGGGGGCAGCCTCCCGAGCAGGTCCTCGCGGCCCTCTGCCCGCTCCGGGACGGAGCCTGGGTGGTGGCTCTTCCCAGAGGAGCAGGGGCCGGAGGCCGTTCCCCTGACGGCAGCCCACCCTCAGTGAGGAGAGGACAGGCTCCAAGCCACCCTCCCCGAGGCAGGACGGGCACCGGCTGGGCCCCCAGGGCCTGCCCAGACGGCAGGGGCCTCACTGTGCGGGGCTCGGGGCTTGGCGGGGGCGGGGGATTTGATGGGGGGCCTGTGAGGAGAGCTCCCTGGGGCACAGCCTATGCTGAGCTTCCAGTGACATACAGGCGGGCGGAGCCTGTGCCCCTGTGAGGACCAGGGCCTCTGCGATGGCCTCGGAGACAGAGGGGCAGCGAGGGGAACGGGGAGGGACTGTGAGGGGGACGGGGAGGGGCAGTGAGGGGGACGGGGAGGGGCAAGGAGGGCATGCAGGCTCCGCTAGTCTGTGGGGAGGTCAGGGCGCCGTGGGCGGGCAGGGCTGTCTGGAAAACGGGCCTCAGACCACCCCTGACCCGGGTGGGCCCTTCCTGAGAGCCTGGCTCCGCCTGGAAATGCAGCCCCACGGCCGCTGCCCATCATCACAGCCGCCCGCGGCCAGTCCTGGGGGCAGAGCCGGCTGCGGGAGGTGCCCCGGGGACGGCCGGCATTTCTGCCCCCGAGCCTCCGAGTCCCAGGAGGACCAGGAAGCCTGAGGACCCTGCTGTCCCACCACCGCCCGGGCCTGCACCCCCTCGCCCCCTCCGCCTTCAGGGCTGGGCTGGGGCTCAGGGCTCGGAGGGCCCCTGGGCCTGGGGAGCCGCCGGGATGGAGACCCGCGCATCCATGTGGGCAGGAGCCCTGGGCCCCCCACCGAGGGGACGTCCCCTCAGAACGTGGCCGAGCCCCACCCTGTCCTGGCCCCGAGGCGGGCGCTCACCAGGCCGCCGGGTCGTACTCGGCCCAGACCCGGATGAACTCGTCCAGGTGGTGCGGGCCTAGGATGGAGGAGTCCCGCGTGAGGTACTCGAAATTGTCCATGATCACAGCCACAAAGAGGTTCAGCATCTGCGGGTGGAGGAGAGAGCGACATGGAGACTCAGCCGGCTCTCCCGTCCTCCCCTCCAGCCACCCAGACCTCCTTCCCCACGGCCTGGCCCTGCACCCCCCCCCCCCCCCCGGGGCCCCACACCACCCCTGGGGTCCCCACACTCCTCCTAGGGCCCCCACATCCCCCCAGGGCCCCGCACTCCTCCTGGAGGTTTCTTACACTGCCACCCTGGGGTCCCGCACCCCCCCTGGGATCCCTGCACCACCACCCCCCCGGGCCCCCACACCACCCCTGGGATCCCTGAGCTCCTCCTAGGGCCCCCGCATCCCCCCCCAGGGCCCCGCACTCCTCCTGGAGGCCCCCACATCCCCCCAGCAGCAGCGGCAGCCTCAGGCTCAGGTCTAACACTGACCATAGTCCTGATTCCAAACCCCGTCCTAACTCAGGCCCCACCATCTCAGGCCCACGACACGTCCTGCCATCCAGGTCACGCCCCGCCCACCCTCACGCCTCGGAGCTGGCCTTCAGGAGGCCGAGAGCTCGGGGTCTTTTTAAAAATATATTTTTTACTGATGTCAGAGAGGAAGGGAGAGGCAGAGAGAAACATCAGTGATGAGAGAATCATTGACCGGCTGCCTCCTGCAAGCCCTACCCTGGGGATGGAGCCCACACCCCGGGCCTGTGCCCTGACCGGGGTCAAACCCTAACCTCTGGGTTCACAGGTCGACGTGCAACCACGGAGCCCGCCGGCCAGGCTCCTGCCCGTTTCCCACGGTTCTTTGCTGCTGTGCTGTGCACTAACCCCAGGGTGTGTGAGCTGTCAGTACCCCCCCTCCCTGAGCACTGTCCCATCACTGCCGGCTTCTGATACAGAGGTTTCTGTGACTCCCCACAAACCCCTAGATTGCTAAAGGGCGGCCTCCAGCCCCACCCCCGGCTGAGTTCTGAAGGACCCAGTTCTGGTGGTTCTCAGCCTGCCCCCTCCCGTGCCAGCACGCTGAGGACCGGGCGGGTCAGAGCACCCGAGGTGTGCGGACAGCAAAGGCCGCCCGAGGCGCCTCCGAGCTGCCGCCGCCACCTCTGCCTTCGTGGGGGATTCTTCTGCAAATCCCTGTTGGGGAGCCCAGAACTCGGGCGTGGTTGTCATCGGGGGAGGGATGGGGGCATGGACGGCTAGCCCCCACAGGGTCCGGGAAGAGCGGCCGCTTCCAATCCTTTGTTCCTGCTGAGCCGTGTGCGGCCGGAAGCCACATTGAACCCCCTTATTGTCATACCCACAGGGAAACGGCGGGTAAATGCCCCGTATGAGGGCCCCTGACCCTGTAGCTGCCTCTCCAGACGTCCCGGCTACGTAGCTGCCACTCCTGACAGTGCCCACTGCCACCTGTGCCCCTGCCCGCTTGCGCTGCCCTGAGTGGGGCCCCACACACCAGGCAGCTCACAGCGTCACGAATGGGACCAGGGACCGTGCACGCAGGGCCCCGCTGGGCCGAGTGGCGGCGGAGGCGGCGGCGGCACAGCCGGACTCACCAGGAAGGAGCAGAGGAAGATGAAGGAGACGAAGTAGAAGTAGGCGAAGTCGCTGCCGCACTCGCTGGCGTTGGCCTGCTCGTCGCACTCCTGGCTGCTGAGGCAGGACAGCATGATCTCGTGCCAGGCCTCCCCGGTGGCGCTCCTGCGGGGGAGGGAGCGTGAGGCCGGGAGGCGGCCGACGGCCAGGGTCCCTCCCAGAGACCCCATGTGGCCGTCAGGTCTGGGGACCCTCCGGCACCAGACTCCTAACTGCTCATGGCAAGTGACCAACGGAACCCGAGCACCAGGTTGATGCCCCCCATGCCCCCCGAGCCCCCACAGCCCTGGGCCCCCCACTTCCTAGCCGGGCTGCCTGTCCTCCCACCTGCTCACCCCGCCCTGCCCGTCAGCTGGCCCATCCCCCAGAGCCAGCCTCTCCCCTCCTCCCAGCACCGAGTCTGCAAGGGCTCCAACCCCGTCCTGCTCCCCTGCCCAACGCCCAGCAGGGCCCCTAGAGACGGGTCAGATCTTGTCAGTCTCGGCGACAGTCCACATCCACACGCCCGCCCACAGCACCCCTTGACGTGCCCACCTTCCCCGGCCCTCGACCTGCTCTGGCCACACCAGCCCCCACTGCTTCCCGAACACACCAGGGCCCCCTCGAGAAGCCACCGGGAGCGCTGGTTTCTGTTCCTGGGCCCCTCTGGGTGACGCTGGCTGCACCCCTCTGAGGTGGCCAGGGGTGAGGGGCGCACATGGGGCACAAGGACCAGGGGGAGGAGAGACCCAGGCTTAGAGCCCAGGTGATTTCCTGGGGCAGCTGCTTCTGTGGCCCAGGAGGGACATGAGCGAGTCCAGTGCCCCAGCCGAAGGCCAGGGAAACGGCGACCTCGGGGTCTTGCTGTGGGAAGCAGACAGCCAGGGAGAAACTTCCCCACGCAGCGCGGGACGGCACCCCGGCCCGTCCCCAGGGCCCCCAGCACACCCTGCTCAGGGCCCCCCCCCCCTTAGCCTGGGGGGGCGGCTAATGAGGGACTCTCTGGAGGCAGCAAGACATATGCCCTCTCGCCGTGGCCCCCGCGTCTCCCTCACGCTGGGGGCCCGGCCCCGCCTAAGAGCAGCGGCAGGCGCCCGCACACCTTGGAGGCCTGAGCTCGAGGCTCCGCCGGGGGCTCCTGCGCCCGAGCCCAGGCCCGGCCGCCCGTCGGAGGGCACAGGAGCAGGTGCACCGAGACCAGCACGTGGGCGCAGGGCATGCCGGGCGGCCGCAGCCTCTGCACCCCCAGGAAGGAGCCGTCGGGCTCGCGCACCTGAACAGCAGCATCAGCGCCTGCAGGAACGTCCGGAAGTTGTTGTGCCGGTTGATGCTGGAGTCGTCGTCCAGGGCGATGTTCCCGAACACCTGGAGGGAGGAGCGGCTCAGGCCGGGCTGTGCATGGACGGGGCCCGGGGGGGGGGCCTAGAGCGTGGCCAGAGCGTGGCCAGGGCCCCGGGCTGTGCGTGGACGGGGCCCGGGGGGGGGGGCCTATAGCGTGGCCAGAGCGTGGCCAGGGCCCCGGGCTGTGCGTGGACGGGGCCCGGGGGGGGGCCTATAGCGTGGCCAGAGCGTGGCCAGGGCCCCGGGCTGTGCGTGGACGGGGCCCGGGGGGGGGCTATAGCGTGGCCAGAGCGCGGCCGGAACACAGGCCCGGAGCCGGCCCCGCGCACCTGCATGCCGATGATGGCGTAGATGAAGAACAGCATGGCGATCAGGAGGCACACGTAGGGCAGGGCCTGTGGGGCGGAGGCGGGTCAGCGGGGCAGCGGGCAGCGGCGGGCAGTGCCACCCCCTCCGCCCCGCGGAGCGCACGGGGCCGCGGGCCGCGCCCACCTTGAAGGACTGCACGAAGGTCCAGAGCAGGATGCGGATGGTGTAGCCCTGGCGCAGCAGCTTGATGAGCCGCGCGGCGCGGAACAGGCGCAGGAAGCTGAGGTTGATGAAGTTGTTCTGGGGGAACAGGGCGGCTCTGACCCGCGGAGCCCGCCTCCCGCCCGAGCCGCCCCACCTCTCCCCGGTGCTGTGGCCGGGCGAGGCGGGCCGTCAGGGAAGAACCACGAGGTTACCGCGCAGTGAGCGCCCCTTCGGCAAGGACAGCGTCATGGCCCCCAGAGACCACCCCGGCCCCCGCAGGGACAGCGAGGGGGTCCCCTCCCCTCCCCGCTGGGGCGCAGAGGCAGCCGCTCCTCCTGTGGGGGGCCCGGGGGGTGGTGGTGTGGCTGCTCGCAGAGGCCTCCTCCCGCCCTCAGACAGGTCTGGGCCAGGCTCCAGCGCGGAGGAGACGGTGCTGTGGCCCAGGCGGCCCCCCCCCCCCCCACGCTGTCTGAGGCGGGCAGGCTGGCGGTGAGGGGGAGGGGACTCAGACCGAGGGCAGCAGCATGCAGGCCGGCCACGCTCCGGGCTGCCTGTCTGGCCCAGGGCCATGGGGGAATGGTGGCATCAGGGGCTTCCAGGGACAGCGGCCCCACCCCTGGCCAGAGCTTCCTTGATCCTCTGCCCTCGGGACCTGACCTCTAATTCCCAGAGGGGCGGGGGCTCTGCCTCTGCGGGGGGGGGGGGGCGCGCTCTCAGGCCCATCTTTCGAGAGGGACGGGGCTGCTGGGTGGGAGGGCCATTAGCGGGCGAGTAGCCGGCTGTGGTCCAGACCAGCAGGGGGTACAGTGGAGTCGGGGTGGGTCGCTGGGGTGCAGGCTTCCTACGCCCCCTCACTGGCTTGGGGGGGGTGAGGGGGAAGACCCCAGTGGGGCACAGTGTCAGGGACCCCTCAGCGGCCTGAGGACTCTCAGGGGCGCCAGCCTCCTCCGGAGGTGGACACGGGACGAAGAACTGTGCACAGGCCAGGGCGGCTCAGGGACACGGAAGGGCCAGAATGGCCTGCCTCCTGGGGTCTCCCTCTGAAGCCCCTGCTCTGGGGGGCTGGGAGCGGCCAGGGCGGCGGGGACAGGCGCACCTGCCCGGCCGGAGTGACCTGCTTGGCAGTGGTGGCCCAGACTTCCCAGACACAGGGGACCCAGCTCTGGGGGGAGGGCAGCCCACAGAGGCGGCGGGCTGGTCGCCAAGTTGCTTTGGGAAGAGGCCCTTACCCAAGACTCCAGCTCCACCCCCTCCCAGGCTTCTCTCTTGGGGCTCCAGGGCCCTCAGGGCAGGCGCGTGGCAACAGACAGACAGCCCACGAGCCACGAGGACAGATGGTGACAGCGGCCACGGACACTCAAGCGGGTGCCGGGGATGGCGCCGTGGCTGCCCCGCAGGCTCTGCCAGGCACCGCCACCTGGTCGCATGCAGGGCGGGGCAGCCTGCGGCCCCTCCCCACGGCTGTGCACGGTCCCCTCTGGCCTGACACTCCTTGGAAGTGGGCACCCCTCCCACCCTCCGAGTCCATGGCTTCTGTGGCACCCACCCAGGAGCAGCCACACTGACCTCAGAGCCGGGCCCTGCACTGATGGGGGGAGACCACCACCTGGGCACACCGTCCCGGCCCCCCAGAGCCCCGGCTCCCCCTCTGAGACGGGGACCGCGCAGCACAGGCTGGTCACACCCCACCAGGAGCGGGGCTGACCCAGGCCACGGCCAGCGCCCCTGCGTCAGCACGTCAGTGCCTCTGGTCAAGGTCACAGCAAAGCCAAGGCTGCTGCCCCGAGACCCGTGCACACCTGCTGGCCCCACGCTCGGCTGATGGTGCGGACACACCGCCTAGACCCACGCCCACGGCTCACGGGAGGCGCTGCTGGGAGCACGGGCTCAGCAGCTGGAGCAGAGCCTCTTGGGAGCCTCCACTCTGCCCGTGGCCTCGTCACGATGCCCTCCGTTACGGGCAGCGCACTACCCGCTGCCTTGCACGCCTGGGCGCTCACAGCCTCGGCACGGCCTCTCCGATGGTCCTGGAGACCTGGACGGAGGCCTGCCAGCCACCCAGGTGCCCACGGCCTGCCAGCCAAGGGCACGCACGCCCAGGCCAGGGGCGCCCGGGTGACGAGGCCGCTGGGCAGAGCAGCCTCCTGACGTGCCACAGACACCATGGACTCGACCGGGCTCAGCCCAAATCCACGGCCTCGAGAGTCCGGACACTTCCCGCCCCCTCGGAGCCCCTGCTGACCCAGACCGTGCAGCGGCCGGAGAGGAGGCGCCGGGCGGCAGCCACACTGGGGAAGGCAGGGCAGGGCAGGGCTGGGCTAGCAGGACGGACAGCACAGCAAGCGAGGCGAGGGGTGTAAGAACCATGAAAGTCATGAAACCAACCCTTTCCTACATGTGATGTTTTCATGGATGGACATTTGCGAATTATGTACAGATTGAGCAGCAGGCGAGACAGACAGACACGGGCATGGTTTCGCAGTGTGTTGGTTGGATGGCGTGAGTCACAGGCAGGTGGAGGTGAGTCGGGGTCAGACAGAAAACAAAGGAGAGAATGATCAACATGAGCAGAACGCAGGCCCCGGCGGCACTGGGGGCAGCTTTCGGTAAATGGGCATTTTGCTGAAAATGCATCAAAACGCTGGTTTTGAACTTGGTTGATGATGCAGACAGTGGCATTCATTTGCATCCTATTTGCAATGCAAATTCAAAATGACACACTTATTTTTTGTTTCCAGGCAAAGAAATCAATGCCAGTTTCACGCCCGCGGGGCCCTGGGCGGGGCCATCGCTCGAGTTGCCTGTTAAGCTGGGGGTGGAACTGACACCGACATTTTTGCCGGAGGAAAATCAGCGCGTGCGCCGAGATGAGTGACCACAGATGGAAAGAAAGGCCGCGGACGGTGGGCCTCGGGCGGCGCAGAACGGAGCCCACGCAGGGAGCTCTCCACCCCCAGCCTCTGGCCCGCAGGTGACGGCGCCCCTCGGGCTGGCGGAAGCAGGGTCTGCCCTTCCACAAGCCGCCCGCCTGCCATCCGCTGGCTGGGGGGGGGGGGGCGCTGGGCGCTCCAGGCTCCCGCCCACCTGCCGCCTGCGGCCCGGGGGGAGGCCAGTTTGTCTGTCTGTGCCGCGGTGGGCACCCTGCCTGCCCCTCCCCGCAGCCGCAGGGCACGCCCCTCTGCGAGGACGCAGGCGCCCAGGGGGCGCTGTCCCCTTATCAGGATTAGATTTCCGAGTCCGAGGAGGGGTCAGCGAGGCCACGGTGCCATCGGTGGGGGAGCAGCCTAGACTGTAGGTTTTGTCTAAAGGGCAGCTTTCACCTTTTTGCCTGGATTACTCAGACCATGAGGTCTCAGAAGCCATAGAACGTATCACATGGAAAAAACTACATGTAAACACATGCATGCACACACGTCCTGAAGAAAAGGAGCGACACGCTGGGCGCCGCACAGGAACGGAGGAGGGGCCTTCCTTCCTGACAAGCGGAGCCCTGTGGGCCCAGTGCCGCTTCCGGTGGGGCTGGCGCCCTCTGTCCTGCTTCACAAAGCAGCCCCTCCCCCCCAAGCCTAAAAGACGTCCTCCCGCATTTCCTTCTCAGAGCCGCAAGTCCTGCCTCTTGCCGGCCGGGTGGCTCCGCGGTTGAGCACAGACCTATGAACCTGGAGGTCACGGTTCGATTCCTGGTCAGGACTCAGGCTTGGGGTGCGGGCTTGACACCCAGTGTGGGGCGTGCAGGGGCAGCGGATCCATGATTCTCTCTTATGGATGTTTCTCTCTCTCTCTCTCTCTCTCTCCCTTCCTCCCTCCCTCCCTCCCCCCCTCCCTCCCTCCCTCCCTTCCTCTCTGAAGTCAATACAAGTACATTTATAAGTCCTGCGTCTAATAATTAAGTCTTTTTGTCATTCTGAAATAGGTTTTTGTGACTGGTGAGCCAGGATCCAATGCTGGCTTCCCTGTGTTGCCGGTGATCACTACGGGATGATGGCTGCTCCTCCCACGAGCCTGGGGTTGGCCCTCAGCCCTGTGACCGTCTGAACCTGGCTGAGCTGCTGGGCGGGGGCAGCGCTGGGTGCGGCGGCAGTGGGAGGTCGGGCCTCAGGGGCCGGGGCCACAGCAGCAGATGGCGTGGGGAAGGGGTGATGGGCACCGCCCAGCTCAGGCCCGTCGGCTGTGGAGCTCCAGCTCCCCAGCCCTCTCCTCCTGCAGGGTGCCCCCCAATCGATGAGGTGAACACGTGAGACCCCCGCTCCCCCTCCATCCTGGCCTGGGGACCCGCCTCTCCTGGGATCTGAGACCTGCCCTGTCTTGGGTTCTAGACCTGGCACTTCCACTCCTCCCACTCGCCCCACCCTCAGCTCTCTCCACGGCTGGATCTGGGTCGGGAACACGTCCACGCAGTCCCGCTTACAGAAGCCCCCCTCACGCAGCCTCCGGAGAGCCTGCCGTCCACCAGCGCCGAGCACTGTGCTCAGAAACGCGCTTCCTGGCCCAGCCTCAGAGGTCCTCAGGCCCGGCCGGCGCGGGCCACAGCCCACGTCTGAGAAGAGCCGCTGTCTCGTTTCCCAGGGAAACACACCTGGGCTTTCCACAGCCTGAGCTCGTCCGGGCTCTGGGCCGGGGCCGCGCGTCAGACACCCACAGGCGAGGGCTCTCCTGCTGCCGGCGTGGCCTGAGCCGCCACGGGAGACGTTCGGGGACGTTTCTCGTCCAAGAGCCAGCACTTGCCGGCGAGACCTGCTCCCCGCCCCGCCCGTGGGAGCGTCCTGCCGCCCGGGGGAGCCTCGGAAGAGCCCGGAGCCAGGAGGGCACTCACCGCGATCTCCGTGACCAGAATGTCAGTGACGCTTCCCAGCACGGTGACGAGGTCGAAGACGTTCCAGGCGTCTCGGAAGTAGTTCTAGAGAGAAGGCGGTCAGAGCCCAGCCAGTGCTCCGCCGGGAGACGGGGTGCGGGAGGGCCTAGTCAGGGCGGACAGGGGATGATGGGCCACCCAGGGGGCAGCACGGGCCTGGCATGCAGCCACCAGGCTGGGCAGGGGCAGAGCAGAGACCACATGGCCGAGGGGAACCTGCCCCCACCCGCCTCCCGGGCCAGACCAGGCCCCGTAGGCTCGTCTGCGCTCTGGGCTCGGGAAGCTCCAGCTCCACACGGGAGCCCCCGGCCCCTCCTGGGACAACACGGCCCCGGGGAAGCGGCGCCTACCAGCACCCCGAAGGCGACGATCTTGAGCACACACTCCATGGAGAACATGGACGTGAACACGATGTTCAGGCACTTCAGCATCAGCTCGTACTCGTAGGGCGCGTCGTAGAACTGCCGGGAGGAGGGCGTTGGCCACGGTGTGGCTGCCCGCCCCTCCCCGCTGCCCGTGTCCTCCAGGCCTCCCCCGTCTCCGCCGCAGCCAGCGACAGGCCCGGCGGAGCCCGCAGCTCCCGCGGACGCACCTTCATCATGAGCACGACGGTGTTGAGGGCGATCATGGCCATGATGAAGTACTCGAAGGGCGGCGACACCACGAAGGTCCACGTCTTGTACTGGAAGGACTGCTTGTTCTGCGGCATGTACCGCGTCAGCGGCCGGGCGCTGATGGCGAAGTCGATGCACGCCCTCTGCCGGACAGAGCCGTGCCGGCTCAGCGGGCCCAGCGGCCACTCCGCACACGCACGCGGCCCTCCCCGCACAGGCAGCCTGTGCCAGGAGGCGGGGTCGACCTCCCAGCGCCCTGCCCCGCCCGCAGGAGCCCCCAGCGCGGCCGGGCGCCCACCTCGTTCTTCTCCAGGCTGCAGGCGGACATGGCCCTGTCGCCCTGCTCCTGGAAGGTGATGATGATCAGGGCCACGAAGATGTTGACGAAGAAGAAGGGGAAGACCACGAAGTAGACCACGTAGAAGATGGACAGCTCCATGCGGTAGCCGGGGCTCGGGCCCTGCTCCTCGTAGGTGGCGTCCACCGAGTGCTTCAGCACCCTGCGGCAGCGAGGGCGTCAGGCCACCGGGAAGCCCTCCCCCGGCAGGGCCCCAGGAAGCCCGGAGACGGCGCCGCCCCCGCAGGCTCCACCGCCTGAGCTCCCATCCCAGAAAGGGGAGCGGCCCTCCACACTCAGTGCTCATGCCTGCTCACCCCGCCCACACCCGCTCACACCCGGCCCACACCCGCTCACACCCAGCCCACACCCGCTCACACCCGGCCCACACCTGCTCACACCCGGCCCACACCTGCTCTCTCCCATCCCACACCCGCTCACACCCGGCCCACACCTGCTCTCTCCCATCCCACACCCGCTCACACCCGGTCCACACCCGCTCTCTCCCACCCCACACCCGCTCACACCCGCTCACACCCGCTCACACCCGCTCACACCCGCCCACACCCGCTCACACCCGCCCACACCCGCTCTCATCCGGCCCACACCTGCTCTCTCCCATCCCACACCCGCTCACACCCGGCCCACACCCGCTCACACCCGCTCACACCCGCTCACACCCGCCCACACCCGCCCACACCCGCTCACACCCGGCCCACACCCGCTCACACCCGGCCCACACCTGCTCTCTCCCACCCCACACCTGCTCTCTCCCATCCCACACCCGCTCACACCCGGCCCACACCCGCTCACACCCGGCCCACACCCGCTCACACCCGCCCACACCCGCTCTCCTGCTTCAGGAGCCCAGAGCTCCGCAGGGTTTCCGCTGAGAGGTTCCTGCCATCCAGAGGAAGCCCTGCTGCTGGTGCTCAGGAGAAGGCCCTCTGGCAGCCGGAGGGCGGCCCGGGGAGACGGGAGAGCTGCCCTCTGGCCCACTGGCCTGGCAGCTGCTCGGGAGAGCGGCGCCCTCATGGCAGGAGCCGGAGGAGCTGTGGGCACCTGCCGCGCGTGAGGCCCGCACTCACATGGGCCAGCCTTCCCCCGTGGACACGGTGAACAGCGTGAGCAGCGCCCAGAGCACGTTGTCGTAGTGGAAGTCGTACTTCTTCCACTGCCGTGGCTGGGCCTCCACCTCCTCCCGCTCGTAGTCCAGGTACTGGCCCCTGGGACGACACGGGGGGGGGCGGTCAGAGCCAGGCCCCTGGGACGACACGGGGGGGGGGGGTCAGAGCCAGGCCCCTGGGACACAGCGGGGGGGGGGGTCAGAGCCAGGCCCCTGGGACACTGCGGGGGGGGGGGGTCAGAGCCAGGCCCCTGGGACGACACGGGGGGGGGGGTCAGAGCCAGGCCCCTGGGACACAGCGGGGGGGGGGGGGTCAGAGCCAGGCCCCTGGGACACAGCGGGGGGGGGGGGGGGGGGGTCAGAGCCAGGCCCCTGGGACACAGCGGGGGGGGGGGGGTCAGAGCCAGGCCCCTGGGACGACACGGGGGGGGGGGGGTCAGAGCCAGGCCCCTGGGACACAGCGGGGGGGGGGGGGGGTCAGAGCCAGGCCCCTGGGACACAGCGGGGGGGGGGGGGGTCAGAGCCAGGCCCCTGGGACACAGCGGGGGGGGGGCGGGTCAGAGCCAGGCCCCTGGGACACAGCGGGGGGGGGGTCAGAGCCAGGCCCCTGGGACACAGCGGGGGGGGGGGGTCAGAGCCAGGCCCCTGGGACACAGCGGGGGGGGGGGGGGTCAGAGCCAGGCCCCTGGGACACAGCGGGGGGGGGGGGGTCAGAGCCAGGCCCCTGGGACACAGCGGGGGGGGGGTCAGAGCCAGGCCCCTGGGACACAGCGGGGGGGGGGGGGGTCAGAGCCAGGCCCCTGGGACACAGCGGGGGGGGGGGGGTCAGAGCCAGGCCCCTGGGACACAGCGGGGGGGGGGGTCAGAGCCAGGCCCCTGGGACACAGCGGGGGGGGGGGGGGGTCAGAGCCAGGCCCCTGGGACACAGCGGGGGGTGGTGGTCAGAGCCAGGCCCCTGCGGGAAGCAGCTCCTGACACGGCCCTCATGGAGGAGTGGGCGCTGCGGTGCATGGCCCAGGACTGCGTGTCCACGCGCAGAAGCACGACGCGGGGCCCGGGCGCACGCCGCCCTCAGACCCACTCCAAGAGGACAGAGGTCTGACCCCGGAGCCCGTCGGAAACGCTCCGGGAGAACACAGGCCTCTGATTGGCAAATGGGTCCTTAGACTCAGCGCCAACATGGCGGCAGCAACAGCAGGCCCAGACACAGGCCGTCACCGAGCTTGGAGCCCTGGGCCTCACAGACGATCGCTCTGGGACGGACAAGCCGCTGAGCAGCCGCTCTGAGCAGGAGTCTCCAGACCAGTCAACGCCCACTGCGGCCACTCCCGCGGGGTTCCTTTCTCTCTTCTGTGGGCTTTGGGAGGGAGAGGGGGGGGGAGGGGGGAGGGGGGCAGGGGAGAAGAAAGAGAGGGGAGAGGGGGGGAGGGGAGAGGGAGGAGAGGGGGAGGGGAGGAGAGGGGAGGGGAGAAGGGAGAAAGGGAGAGGGGGGAGGGGAGAGGGAGAGGGAAGGAGAGGAGAGGGGGAGGGAGAGGGGGGATGGAGAGAGGGAGGGGAGGGGGGGGGGGAGGGGAGAGGGAAGGGAGAGGGGGAGGGGGGAGAGGGGGAGAGGAGAGGGGGAGGGAGAGGGGGAGGGAGGGAGGAGAGGGGAGGGGGGGGTAGTGGAGAGGTTAGAAAGAGGAGAGGGGGAGGGGAGAGGGGGGAGGGGAGGGGAGGAGAGGGGGAGATGGGAGAAGGGAGAGGGGGAGGGGAGAGGGAGAGGGAGGAGGGAGGAAGAGGGGAGGGAGGGAGGGGGGAAGGAGAGGGGGAGGGGGTAGATAGAAGGGGAGAGGGGGAGGGAGAGAGCGAGGGGAGGGGGAGAGGGGTAGAGGGAGAGGGGAGGGGAGAGGAGAGGGAAGCGGGGAAGGGTTAGGGTAGAGGTAGAAAGGGGGAGAGGGAGGGAGGGGAGGGAGGGGGAGGGGGGAGCATGGAGCACTGCCTCCTGGGCGCACCCCAGCTCGTGCAGGGGCCCACCCAGCGGAGTCATGAGGACACGCACCGCGGGCGGAGCGGCGCTGGGGTGAGGAGACCTTCACGAAGGAGGCACAGGCCAGCACTCGCCCCGGGGGGAGCGAGGCAATGCCAGACACAGCCCTGCAGCCGGCGGCGAGGACAGAACTGCTTCCTTCCGGAAGGAAAACCGCGCGTGGGGGGGCCCTGGAGACCCTCCACCCCGGCAGGGAGCCGCCTGGCACCCCCGACCCGGTCACAGAGCCCACGTGGCCCGGGGTCACGCCCCTCCGGGTGCCCGCTCCGGGGACTGACACCCGGCCGCGTTCCCGGCCGAGCAGTGACGGAGGCGGACAGCGGCGGCCCCCGGTGAGAGAAGCAGAGGTGGCCCAGCCAGAAGGCGGGACCCGACAGCAGGGCCGGCCTCAGAAACACACCACCCGGGGCCTGCATGTCCCAGGTGTCCTGACCACACACACACACACACACAGCACGCGGGGCTGCGCGGGGCTCTGCGGGTTTTGGCCGGGAAACGCTCTCCGGGCCGAGTGAGGCTGCCCGCTGCCACCCCCGGACCCACGGCCTCGTGCACAGCAGGGTGAGCTCCACGGCAGGACTCCCACCCCAGCCGCCGCTCGATGGCGGGGAGAGGCCGCCTTCTCCTCAGACGGAAAACCCGCCCTCCCCCTCCCCCGGCGGCAGTGCCAGCCCAAAGGCGGCCACGTGAGGGGCAGGCGCGCTTTCAGGGGAGCCCAGGCCGCCCGACCCGGCCACGGAGCACTGGACGCCGGGAACGCACGCGAGACGGCACAGCCCGTGCGGCACACGCCACCCGCACCCTAGCATGCCAAGAGCCAGAGCTGGCAGAGGAGTCCCACCCAGCGGTTAAAGAACTCCCACAGACCAGGGAGACAGGCACAGGTGCAGCCCCAGGAGGGACATGCCAGCTCGCCCAGAGACTCACCTCGCGTGCCTGGCGCCAGGAAGGCCCAAGCAAGACGCCCGCCAGCATGGCGGGCGGGCTAGGGCCACGCCCCTGGCAGTGTGAGTTTACACATCACCTGTGTGCTCCAGCACACACAGCCCACACTGCGGTGCCCACCCCAGAGCCAAGGCCCTGAGCAGCCATGAGATCAGAAGTGGGACCGGCCCCTCAACAACAACGGTGAGATTGCAAGTGGGTCCCGCCCCTCAACAACCATTGGGTGAGGTTGGAGGTGTTCCCACCTACCACAAACACTGTCTGAGGTTGGAATCACACCCCACCCCTCCTGCATCTCCAGATGGGCACCTCATCCGCGCAGGCACTACCCTTACTGCCAAACCGCATTCACATTCCCGCTCCACGGAAACAGCTCACAGTGTTGCTGCGTTGAGCTGCTACACTTGGGGCAGCTTGCTATGCAGCATTGGATCACCAACTCACGGTGGAGGACCAAGAACAGTGCCTGTCAGGTATTCGGTACCAGAATCCTCGCTAAACACATCAGTGAAAAGAAAGAAAAGTAAATTCCAAGGGGAGGACTAACCACTCCAAACCTCCTTTAGGTTAAGGCAGCGCACAAAGAAATTACAGAAATACAGATCTCTCTGAACAAGCCCACCTTTAGGCCCAGCCCCTCTGACTGGTCTCCGCCTCCTCCTCACTGCTCATGCCCACTCTGCCCTCAAGGACAGGGGGCAACTGTGTCGTCCCAAAGCACTTTACCACCCCAGCCCAGCCTTCCTCCTCCTCGCAGGAGGCACTATGTGTCTCCCTCCCAATGCTCAGACTGTGGGAAGGAAATCAGCCTGTGTCCAATGGAGACCCTGGCACACTCCCCAGGGTGCTGGTGACCAAGGCCAGCATCACCGGGGTCCACGGATGGATGGTGTTGGTATCACGTGCCCTGACTCTGTGCAATGCGCATGCTCCAGACTGTGGCGCTCTTCCCCAAACCCCAGTCTGTTATGAGGAAAACATCGGAGAATCCAAAAGGCATCCTTCCAAACACAGGACCAGCACTGTGCCTCCTGACGGCCCAGGGTGGCCCTGCGAGGTGGGCTGAAAGGCTTGGAAAAGACACACAGACAATGAAAGCTGGGGCTCGGCGGGGTGCTGCTTCCTGAGAGACAGCGCCCAGGCACACAAGCCGAGTCTTTATTTTGTAGCAGCTGCCAGGAGGGAAAGTAAGGACTTGGTCAAGGTGTTGACAGCCTTCTCAAGGGTTTCGACCCTACTCAATTACATGCACCTGATCCAACTGTTTACCTGCAGCCTATATCGCTCAGGCATGTGGGGCCACGTGTTCGGACCATACGCTCCAGCTTACAACTCCAGCTGTTGGCTGTCACTGTGCGGGAGGCTCTGCCCTCCAAGCTGGGACTTGCATGTGGCCACGAGAGGACTGGGTCCTCTCAATAGACCCGGTCTTGAACCTGTGCAGATGCTGTGGCCCCTCTCCACACAGCACCCTCCAAGCCCGCCAAGGTCATTAAAAACAAGGCCCACTGAGAGACACTGCAGAGGGGGCTTAACACAGTGCGGGGTTCCGGGTAGATCCGACGACGACGACGACAGCGGGGTCTTAGTGAAAGACTAGGAAAACACAAGTCTACCGTCCAGTTCAAGCACTGCACCAGCTTTCACTTGTTAGTGAAGTGGGACCAGCCCCTCAACAATCATTGGGTGAGGTTGGAAGTGGGTCCTGCCCTTATACTACCATTGGGTGATGTTGTATGTGGGTCACACCCCTCAACTACCATTGGTTGAGATTGGGTGTTAGACCGCCCCTCAGCAATCATTGGGTGAGGTGGGATGTGGGTCCCGCCCCTCAGCAATCATTGGGTGATTTTTGAAATGTGTTCCACCCCTCGACGTGGAGCCCACCACATGCCTGGCGCCACAGCTTGTGAGCAAGGCTGGGCCACACAGACAAGTGGGACCATGGCTGTGGCGAGGAGGGAGCTGGCGCAGCCCTACTCGGCGCCACTCAGGAGCACCCCGCGTCCCCTACTTCTGAGGGTGCCTCCCCGGGAGCTCCCTGACCTGGTCCTGGCCTGGTCCTGGGTCTGCAGAACCTCCGGCATCCCCGTGCCCGGGAGCTCCCTGCATGTCGGCGGAGGAAGATCCCGGCTCCCCACGTGCTGGTCCCCACCCTGGAGCCCCGTGCGGCCCAGGGACAGGTGCACAACCCACCCGAGTGTGCCCCCACGGCCCCTCCCGCGCCCTCACAGCTGGCCCTGCCCCCCCACCGCCGCCCGCTCACCTGCAGTCCCGCTCCAGCTCCTTGGACTCGTCCGTGCAGTAGAAGAACTTGCCCTTGAACAGCTGCACGGCGATGACGGCGAAGATGAACATGAAGAGCATGTACACGATGAGGATGTTGAGCACGTTCTTGAGCGAGTTCACCACGCAGTCGAACACGGCCTGGGGGCGGGCAGGCTCAGCACCGGGCCGGCGGGCGGGACTCAGCCAGCTGCCCGCCTTGGGACCCCTCGGGAGGGAGAGGTCGTCTCCGATGTGTCAAGTGGTTGGTGGGGCCAGGAGAGGAGTCACGAAGCAGGTGCCTCAGAACAGGGGCCTGACCCGCACGTCAGGGCTGGCCCAGGGGGCAGGGAGGGACCCAGGCCTGCTGGTGTCGGCAGGACACGCAGGCAGAGAAGCAGCCACGCTGTGGCAGCCTGGCCCGGCATGTGGGCATGCTCTGTGGCCCACACCTGAGGCTCAGCGCTCCCTGCCCACCGGCCCGGCCCAGCCCCGCCTCTCGGAGTCGGCCGTCAGCCTGCCCTGCCCTGGTGTGCTGGGGCCGGCCCATAGCGGCTCCCAGACACCGCCAGGCCCCCTGCAGCGCCCCGGCACCTCCCCACAGCCCTCTGGCTGCCTCCTCACCTCCCAGCCCGCCCTCCCCACAGGCTCTCGGCAAGCTGCCCCTTAACCCATGCAGCCTGTCGCCCCAAGCTCGCACCCCTAGCTGCTCACAACACCTTACCCACAGGTGGGGGGGTGAGAGGGCTGTAAGCACAGAGCACCCTCCTTCACCCCGCACCTCAGCCACCACCTGGGGCCTGCCCTGCCCCGCCACCCCCTCCGCCTCCGGCCTGTCTCCCCGCAGCCCAGCCAAGGGCCCCGCAGCGGGAAACGCCAGGCCTGCTGCTCCGCAGGAACCGGACGGAGCCCACGGCACCGCTGGGAATGGCCCTCATGGGCGTCAGAGGGGAGAGGCCCATTCCCCCAGGTGGTGTGGTCTGAGCAGTTCTCACGTGGGGCTCTCTCAGCTCTGCTCACCCCCACCTCACACAGAAGCCGCCTCAGGATGTGGCCAGCGTGCAGACACACATGCTGTGCACGCACCTTGTGCACACATGTACACACACAGGACACATGTGCCCTGGCACGCACAGCCCACATGCAGCTCACCACGCACGCTCCTCACGCCCCTGGCTCTCACCTTGAGCTTGGGCAGCCGCTTGATGGTCTTGAGCGGCCGCAGGACGCGCAGCACGCGCAGGGACTTGATGGTGTTGATGTCCTTCCCTTTGGAGCCTCTGGAAGGAGAGCCGACATGCAGGCGGGGCCGGCCCGGCGCCGAGCGCACGCAGCCCCGGGCCGGCCCCCCCCCCCCAACCGCGTCTGTGGTGGGCCTCAGGGCAGAGGCCTGATGGGCACCACGGAGGCCTCCCCCCAGCAGCACCTGGGGCCAGGAGCACCTGCTCTCCCAGCACTCCCATCACCCGCACGCCCGGCCCACACGGCTGGCCCCTGGCCCCTGGGAACAGCCCTGGGAGCGAGCGGAGAGGGTAGCACAGGGGCCAGTGGGCACGGTGCCACCCCAGCTCCCGAAGCTGCTTCCTCTCCGGAGGAGGTCCCAGGACAGCCTGGCTCTCCCTGCCTGTCCTCTGTCCCGTCCAACACTCCTCCACTGGCGAGTGGCGGCCGATGACAGAAAGGGAGAGGAGGAGCCGGGAGGAAGGGAAGGACAGAGAGAGAAACCAGGGAGAAGAGGAAGAGAGAGGGGAGGCCGGGCCAGCGTGGCTCAGGCCGGGCCGGCAGCCACCAGTTCAATGCCCAGTCGGGGCACTTGCCCAGGTCGTGGGCTGGATCCCCAGTGTGGGGTGTGTAGGAGGCAGCTGGTCCGTGATTCTCTCGTCGTTAATGTTTCTCTCCCTCTCTGAAATCAATAAAAATGTATTTTAGAAAAAGAAAGGGGGGAGAAGGGAAGAAGGGAGGGGGGGAGGGGAGGCGAAGAGCCACAGGAGACAGTGAAGAAAGCAGCGGGAGGGGGAGGAGGAGCGGAGAGCAGGCCAGGCCCCTCGGAGGGCACTGGGCTCCCGCAGGCCGCGGGGCCGGGCACTGTCCCTCTCGGGCCGCCCTGCTGCCACCTGAAGCCAGGCAGGGGCCTCGGAGGCCATGCTCAGGGCCAAGGCCACTCCCACTGGGGCCGTGTGGGGCCGCGGCTAAGGCTCAAAGGCTGCTTCTCCCCACGCCCAGGGGACCTGTGTGTGGGGGAGTGGGGCGCCGTCTCCTTAGGGTACAGCCACGCTAGAGCCTCCCAGTCTTGCCCCCAGGACCCCGCTGGGGCCTGTGTTTTGGAAGCAGATCAACACCCCTGAACCCAGGCTGTCCTCCGCATGCTGCCCGCTACTCCCCTCACCCTCGCCTGGACCCTCCCCAAACCAGCCTGGCAGCTCCCGCTGAGCCAGCCAGGAGGGGCCCTGTCTTGTTTCCTAGGAAGCGGACGCTCTCTCTGGAGGCTCTGCCTCAGGGGCGCCTGGCTGGGTCTCCCTGCCCCTCCCTCCCTCCCAGCTCCCCCTGACACCGGCGAGCTGCGCCCTCCTCCGCAGAGCGAGGCGGTAAGGCCCAGGAGGGAGTGGGGGTGTCGGGGGGGGCCTGCAGGGCCAGGAGGAGGCCGAGCCTCCGGAGAACAGACGGGGCACAGGACCCCCGCCTGGTCACCGGAGCCCCTTCGGAGCCGCCCTCGGTCCCGTTCTCGGCCTCCTACACTCACTGGGACTTGTGCTCCTGACCCCCGAGGCCCGGCCCCACCCAGCCCCCAGGCTCGCCCCAGCCGGCGGGCACAGCCTGGGACCAGCTCCGGCAGCATGCACCCGGAGCGGGGTGAGCTGATGAGAGGTGAGCGTATGGCGCGGAGAGCGTATGACGCGGTGAGCACGGTGAGCGTATGACGCGCCCGAGGGCGGCTGAGATGTGAGATGTGGGTGGTGTGGGGGGACAGGGGGAGGCATTACCCCATGAAGCTCCTACAAGAGGGAGTCCGGCACCAAGGAGACAAAGAGAAGAGAGTCAGTGAGGAGGCCTGGCCGCCAGAGGAGGGCCTGCCCGGCTCCTGCGGGTCATTCAGTCTCGGCATCTCCTGCCACCACTCGCCCTGGGACCCCGGCTCCCCCGGCCCCACACCTGCCTCCGCCCAGGCCCAGCCACCGCCAGGATGAGCCTCACTCGCTGGAACCAGAGAAAGGAGCCTGGAACCTGGGACGCGCCCACCAGCACCCAGCCCCGCCCTCAGGAGAGCAGAGTGGCTGGAGGCGGAGGCGGCCCCACCGCAGAGCCAGGGCCGTGTCAGGGACGCGCCGGCCAGAGTCCCTCCCCCCACAGCCCGGGCTGAGCAGAGGACGGAGCTACGGCAGCCCGGAGGCCAGCGCCCCCCACACCCCACCGCGCCTCGGGGGGCTGCGGACGTGGGTACTTACGAGAAGGCAAACGCCACCAGGGCCCCACTGACCACAATGAAGTCCAGAATGTTCCACAGGTCCCGGAAGTAGGCCCCCGGGTGCAGCAGCAGCCCCAGGTCGATCATCTTCAGGGAAGCAGTGCAGTTCAGGGCGGTTACTTCAGGGAGAGGGCAGGGCAGACCCAGAGCCTCGGGGTGGGGAAGGGGGCCCAGGTCACGTCCCCCAGCCCGACGCCCGAAGCCGGGACCCTGGTCAGGAGTGCAGGGCGCTCTCCCCGCCGACACCGCGCGGAGACTGTAGTGAGCAACGCCCCCGAGTCCACACGTGTGTGTGTGTGTGGGGGGGCGTGCGGTCCCTGAGGGGAGGCTGGCCCGCACCTTTATCACCATCTCGAAGGTGAAGACGCCAGTGAAGATGTAGTCCATGTACTTCAGCACCTGCCACCAGAGGGCGCTCTCAGGAGGCCAGCCCGCAGCTGGGCGTCCTGGGGCTCCAGGTGTCTCCCCCTCTCCCGCCCGCGCCCACCTGGACCTGGGGCAGACAACCCGTCAGCCAGGGCCGTGGCTGAGGGCCTGGGGAGAGGCACTGGCACGGCCCCCGCGCCCGCTCCGGCCCGCCCGCCCGCCCGGCTGCCCCCCGCCTGCCGCCCTGCACCCGGGCTCACGTTGTTGCGGGGCGAGTCAGCGCGCACGGGGTCCTCCGCGGCCAGGGCGATGCTGCTCAGCGCGATGACCACGAGGATGACCATCTCGAAGTAGCGCATGGTCACGATGGAGTGGCAGAGGCGCCGGAGCCTGGGGAGGAGAGGGGCTCAGCGGGCTCCCGCTGCCCGCTCCGACTCTGGCAGGAAGCGGGCTGTGAGGGCGGGGGTGCGGGGGGCGTCCCGGGGGGCGTCCCGGGGGCGTCTGCTCTGATGGGAGGGGCACTGGACACGGGGCCCAGGCTGAGCGGGACCATGGAGACTCGGAAGCTGGTGACACCGCGGCACAGCTGGGCAGCCCCGAGGTGGGAGGCCGCTCTGGGTACCTGAGGCCGAGCCAGGTGACCAGACGGCGCCCCCGCACCCAGCGGCCGTGTGCGTGTGGGCCGGGGCGAGCGGCGTGGCCCGGGGGGGCACACTCACAGGTTGGTGGGGCTGAGGCAGAACATGGAGCTGTAGGGCACGATGGGCCGGGGGCCACTCCGCATCGCACCGTCCGCCTCCACCTCCTTGCCCTCCGCCTGGCTCTCCAGGTCCACGGCGCCACCTGCAGGAAGGGCCGCCGGTGAGGGTGTGGCACCGCCCACACTGCCCGGGTCTCACGGGGCGGCCGGTGCCCTCCTGGCTCCGTGGCCGGGAAGGGGCGGTGAGAGCCAGCGCCCTGCGCCGGGCTGACCGCGCCTGAGGACGGCCAGGCTGAGCTGCACGGGGCCCGCCGGCCCCTCTGGAAACTGCTGGTCGGCTCGAGGCCTGGGGTTCTCTCGCAGCCCCCCCAGACCGGCCGGACCCAGCGCCGCCCCTCGGGGAGGCCCCCACACACCAGGCTGCTGCAGGTTCCGTCGCCCACGCCTCTGCTTTCCCACCTCAGCGTGTGTACCCTCACGTCCATCCCGTCCCGCGGGCAGCACTCCTCCCCAGCTCGCCATGCCCATGGCTGGACACAGGTCACCAGCGGAGGAAAAGGGACTGGCCATAACTGACACGTCACAGATCGAAAACCGAGAGTGAGCAGAGGGTGTGCGTGTGCATGCGCCTGTGTGCGTGCATGTGTGCACGTGTGTGTGCACGCATGCGTGCATATGTGTGCTCGCGCGTGTGCATATGTGTGTGCGTGAGTGTGTGTGTGTGAGTGTGTGTGTGCACGCGTGCGCACTGGATGAGGCTTCCTGTCCGCGGCCCCTCAGCGGGGCTGCGGGGAGCCCAGACCCGGCGCCTTGAGCTTCTGCGGAGCAAACGCTCTCGGAAGGGCCGGCCGCTCGCAGGCCTGTGGGCCGGAGTGCAGCTCCGCCAGCCCAGCCCGGCTGAGGTCTCGGTGGGAACCTCCCAGCACAGAGCAGAGGGTCCCCCAGCGGCAGCAGGGCCTGAGCCACAGCACAGCGGCCTGAGGGCTCTGAGAGGAACAGAATAACTAAACACACACATGCGAGGACATTTTAAAAATCTACCTTAAAAAACAGGCAATAAAGTTCCGGACAACAGACCCGGCGCTGAGAACAATGGCCCCCCGTTGACCGCCACCACGCGGAGCGGACACAGCCGCTTCCAGGCGCCCGGCCGGACAGCAGACAGATGCAGCGCCACCTCTGGGGGGGACCGGGGGGACCAGGGGGCCAGCCCTGTCTTTCCCAAGGCTGTGTGCCAACTTCTGCCTACACAGCACTAGGGGGAGGAGGGGGGTGGCATGGGGATGAGGGACAAGACCGGAGGGACAGGTAGAGGGCGCTAGGCCTTCTCACCATGGGGGAGTGGGGAGAGGGAGGAGAGGGGGAGAGGGAGGAGAGGGAGGACAGGGGGAGTGGGGGAGAGGGGGGAGTGAGGGGAGAGGAGGGAGTGGGAGGAGAGGGGGGAGTGGGGAGAGGGAGGAGAGGGGGAGAGGCAGGAGAGGGAGGACAGAGGGAGTGGGAAGAGTGGGAGGAGAGGGGGAGTGGGGGAGAGGGGGGAGTGGGGAGAGGGGGGGAGTGGGGGAGGGTAAAGGAGGTCTCCTCGGCCCGCAGGAGCCCAGAATGTGTGCGCTGCCACGTCTGCCAGGCTTGCTCGTGCTGTCTGTGTCTGTGTCTGTGTCTGTGTCTGTGTCTGTGTCTGTCTGTCCCGCCTTCAGAGGCAGAGGCCCTGCATCGCGGGCTCTCACCAGCTCCTCCTGCGGGGCGGGCGGCTCTTCCCTGGTGATGCCTGGGCCAGTCTGAGCGCGGGCCACCTGGGGAGGCCCCAAGGGCGCCGGGGAGGGTCTGAGCGCCGCGCCAGAGGGCGGCCCTGGGCCGAGTGAGAGCACTGTCTGCGCGGAGGCTGGAAGCCGGCTGCAGGCGGGGCAAGGCCTGGGAGGGAGCGCGGGGCTGCTGCTGGCGGGGAAGGAAGGGAGGGGTGGGGCGGGGTGGGGAGGGAAGGTGGGGGCCACATGAACCCCCTCAGCTGCCACCCAGGGCGGGCGCGGTGGGTGACCACTAACAGCCGGACAGAAGTCACTGCTTCTGAGCTGCCGGAGAGGAGCACAGTGGTGACCAGCAGATACACGAGCTGCTGCTCAGTATGGACCTGAAGGAGGAGGCGAGCACAGGAAGGTGGAGCCGTGTACACCCACGGAGACGGGGGACGGAGGAAACCCCGGCAGATGAGTCATCTGCCAGGACCGGCGGGACCGGCCTCAGAGGCCCAGCTCCAGGCCTGGACCGGAGGCAAGCTGGCAGGGCGCAGAGGCTGCGAGCCGGCGGCGGGAGGCGCCCGGAGCCAGGCTCCCCAAAGGCGCCAAGCACAGGACGGTCAGGCGGACTCCGGCCCGAGAGCTCGGCGCCTCACACTGCGACAGCCGGCTCCCGAGACGCCGTTTCACACGCTCAGAACACAGTACGTGTTTGAAGAGGAGGAAAAGGAAGAGCCTGGAAAGGCATCAGAAACGCCACGGCGACCACGGAAAACAGCCCTCTGTCCGGTATGGGCATCCTGCTCCGAGCTGCACGCCTCAGCTGTTCACAGGGCTCCACCGCCCTGACCACACAGCCGCCGGAGGCTTGCACCCTCCTCCCGGCCCGGCAGCACTGTTCGCAGGGCTGTTCGCAGGGCTGTTCGCAGGGCAGGGGAACGGCCAGAGACCAGTATGAAAAGGCGGGAACGGCCGGAGACCAGTATGAAAAGGCGGGAACGGCCGGAGACCAGTAGGAAAAGGCGGGAACGGCCGGAGACCAGTAGGAAAAGGCAGGGAACGGCCGAGAACAGTAGAAAAGGCGGAACGGCTGGAGACCGTGGGGAAGTAGAAGAAGGCAGGGGACGGCCGGAGACGGGCAGTAGAAAAGGCAGGGGCGGCGGACGGAGACCAGTGGGGGAAAAGGCAGTGGACGGCCGGAGACCAGTAGAAAAGGCAGGGAACGGCGAGACCAGTAGGAAAAGGCGGGAACGGCCGGAGACCAGTAGGAAAAGGCGGGGAACGGCCGGAGTACTCAGTAGGGAAAGGGCAGGGGACGGCCAGGAGTGAGACCAGTAGGAAAAGGCAGGGGATGGCCGGAGACCAGTATGAAAAGGCAGGGGATGGCCGGAGACCAGTGGGAAAAGGCAGGGGATGGCCGGAGACCGTAGGGAAAGCAGGGGATGGCCGTGGACCAGTGGGAAAAGGCAGGGGACGGCCGGAGACCAGTATGAAAAGGCAGGGGAACGGCCGGAGACCAGTAGGAAAAGGCAGGGAACGGCCAGAGACCAGTAGGAAAAGGCAGGGGACGGCCGGAGACCAGTAGGAAAAGGCAGGGGAACGGCCGGAGACCAGTAGGAAAAGGCAGGGGACGGCCAGAGACCAGTAGGAAAAGGCAGGGGACGGCCAGAGACCAGTAGGAAAAGGCAGGGGACGGCCGGAGACCAGTATGAAAAGGCAGGGGATGGCCGGAGACCAGTGGGAAAAGGCAGGGGACGGCCGGAGACCAGTATGAAAAGGCAGGGGAACGGCCGGAGACCAGTAGGAAAAGGCAGGGGACGGCCGGAGACCAGTAGGAAAAGGCAGGGGAACGGCCGGAGACCAGTAGGAAAAGGCAGGGGACGGCCGGAGACCAGTGGGAAAAGGCAGGGGACGGCCGGAGACCAGTATGAAAAGGCAGGGGAACGGCCGGAGACCAGTGGGAAAAGGCAGGGGACGGCCGGAGACCAGTGGGAAAAGGCAGGGGACGGCCGGAGACCAGTAGGAAAAGCTGTGTCCCCAAGAGCAGAGCAGGCACGTTCCTTCCGAGCTCCGGGACATCACCGACGCGGACCGTGTGCTCAGCCAGCAGCTCTCCGTGAGTCTCCGAGAGCCGCCGCCGAGGAGAGAGGGACTTCCCGTCCCTCCTCCCCGTCCCTCCGGCTGCACCGCTGACCACGTTCCCAGGAGCCGGCTCAACGGAGCCAACGAGCAAGTCCACGGCCGCTGCGCCGTGTGCAGAGCTGGAGGGCCACCACAACCACGCCAAGAGCCACCGGAGCCCCCACGGCCGAGTCCGGAGGGACAGTGTACGCACACTGGCCAGCCGAGGACTGGGCCCTCACCCTCTGAACCTCCGGCGCCTGCTGCGGCGCCTGCTGCGTCCGGGAGCTCACCGCGCCCTCTGCAGAACAGGTCCTGACGGCCTGATGTCACCGCTCGGACCAGCCAGGGGCCAAGGATGCAGGACCAGCTCTGCCCCTGAGACGCTCCGCGCTCCTGCTCCTGCCCAGCGCCGTGTCTGCAGTCTTAAGACCCGTGAGTACATGCCTGTCAGTCATTCCGGAGGAGCATCCCGACTCCCGAGCACTCGGTGGACAGCACACACGGGGTCCCTACGACCACGGATTCCGGGGTCACACCGGACAGCAAGGCTTCCTCGCCATTCTAGACGGCAGGCCGGGACTTCGGGGGACAGAAGGCAGCTCACGAGCAGACAGGGCGTGGACATGCAAACAGAACACGCTGGGACCCCCGTCAACTGGGCAGAGAGGGTCTCGTCGCTACCGCGGGCGGCGTGTTCTGGGCAGACGGGCCTCCCCCACACAGCTCATGTTTGCCAACCACCGTGCAGTCACGTGAGAAACCAGGGCGGTTATCAGAAACAGAAAGGGTTAATTAAGGTTCAAATCTCACAACTGAAAACGGAAAAGCAAACTTTAAAGTTCACGTGTCAAAAATTATACTCAGAGGCGGTGTGACTGTATCTACTTAGAAAACAAATAATCTACAGGAAATTACTCAGAGTAACAAGAGAGATTGGGAACTCTGGCTGGATAAAAACCTGCTTATGTTTCTGTACAATAGGAGCCAATAACTAGAAACATAATTTTTTAGAAAGATTATCATTTTAAAGACAGAATTCACGAAGCAGAAAGACAGGGATTCTGGGCAGCGAACCCGCTCCGTCCATTGTAACGGTGGACACGAACCATTACACACCGGTCCCGGCCCACAGCACCCGCAGCCGGAGCCGCTCCCACCCGCTGTGGGCTCCGGAGGCGGCGGGTGGCGGTGTGGGCGCACTGGATCTAACGGGCGCACTGCCTGCGGGTGCTGCTGGTGAGGAGGCTGCCCACTGGCGGAGCCTGGCAGGGGCCATGGCAAAGCTCTGG